TCACGGGTTTATTACGAATCAACTTAACGGCCTGCTCCCAGTTGGCTTGTTAGCTCAATTGGTAGAGCGCTGCACTAGTATCGCAGAGGTCAGTGGTTCGAATCCCGTACAGGCCTGATTTTTTTCAGGTCTGATTTTCGCTATTGCATAAATAGCGGTCTCTACTGCGAGGATCGTGCATCATACATATCTACAACCGCAGTTCAAAATATATAAACTTCATATATTCATTGTACCAAATAATAATAATAATCGAATATTTATCCAGGATAGCCCTTCAGTACCAAGTACTATTATTAACGGGGTCCTGCTGTTAAAAAAAATATTCAACATAATTATAACATAAATAAGAATAAACAAAAATATTTAAAGAAGACATGCACTAGACTAAAACCGTTAAAAACTACAATAAAAAATCACAAGTAAAAATCGTCCAGGGCTTTCCTAAATAAAACTTTGGAATTTGTGTTTCTCAAACGTAATGGAAATGAATTAAAAAGCGAAGCACCTAAGAAATAAAAACTACGGCGCGCAAAATCCAACTTCACCTTGGGTAGTTTTACTGATTTCCCATTGTTTCTAGTGTTTAAGGAATTCTAGTCATGATAGCAAATTCTCAGAACTAAGATCATAAGGATTGTATGACAGACAGTAAGGAGAATTACTGATAAGATCGTGGGGAGTGACAGGGTTAGTTGGAATATGTTTGATTGAGCAGTAATTACCCCAGCTTCTCTTTGGTTAGCTCAAAGGAAGCATCCCAATGCCTTATGGCTCTGTAGAGGTGCTGTTAATGAAATCCACAGTTTTTGAGTCGCCACGTCTCTTGTTTCTGATAGGAAGAAAAATACACCTGAGTATAGACTACAGGCAGTCTCTCTTTTTCGGCGAAGTCCGTCGCGCGGGTGAAAGAAAATCAGCGAAACGAAAAAAATTATGTTAGCACACCCTGTAGAACTCTGGGACTGAGGTGCTTAGCGTTTCGTTCGGCGCACTGACATCTTAAAAGGAGCCGAAGTCCTGTCTTGGAGGCTTACAATTAATTTTTTGGCTAAACAAGTTACTTTGTATTCAGCTTTTAACAATTTATGGAAGACATGTCTTATTAAAATTACGGCAGGAAATAAACTCTATTCAAGAGAAGTCCACGTGTTCTAAAGATGCTGCCACCGTAGGAAACCCTGCGAAAAGTGAATCGATAATACTAAAATTCTCTCTTGTCTAGTAACTTGCGCGAGATGTTTTGTTTTAATCTATAGGGCTAAATGCGTTTGGGATTGAATCATCTTCTCATCAGTAAAGTTTTGGTTGAAACATACTGGTTTGATAGGACTAATTTGTTTTCTCTTATTCTACAGGGCTTAATGGATTTGGGATCATGACTTATCTTCTCATCAGTAAAGTTTTGGTTGAAACATACTGATTTGATGGTACCAATTTTTTTTCTCTCAAAGAAATAGGAAGAATCTCAATTCGTTCTGGAGCGACCCATCTTAAAAGGTATCTTTTAAAATTGAATTTTAAACTGTATTCAGACCTATTCAGTCTTTCTTTAACTAATTGAGGTAAAGCTTACTTTTAAGACTTCTAGTGATAATTCATAAGTGGTTTCAAACAATACCTTAGCGTCCTATATTAGAGGTGCAAACACCATGCAAAACTTTGCGGACCTGATTCTTCGAGTCCTGAGTGTAGTATGCTCAGCATAGTATATTTCTGAGGGATTTAACGGCGAAAGTGAAAAAAACAAGCCAGCCCCTGGTTCCCGCCTAAAAAGGATATTCGACTTTTAGATATAAGATGGTAATGGGAATAGATAATTCCAGAAGGTATTTCTTCATATTGTTTTACAATGCGCGAACGGCATTTAGAACTGAGTGGGATTTGCCAGAAATGAACTTCGCCCCTTCTGGCTAGCGCTAAAAATGATATGGCTCAGTTTTAGAGATAAAACGGCTCTCCACCAAATACTACCTTAGAGTTGATGGCTCATTCTGTGAGCTGTTGATTCCATAAATAATCACATATGACTAATATTACGTGGTAAACAACTTGTGCAGAACTTAATAGACCTGATTTTTCTTGTTCTGAGTATGAAGGGCGCGAACAATATTAGACCTGTGGGGGATTTCCCGATAGTGAACACAAAAGCCAGCGTAACACTTCCTCGCTTGAAAAAAGATACGCGAAATGAATTTTTGAGATAAATGGCTATGGATATTTATGATTGCACCAGGTTTTATCTCACATGTTTACAGCTTATTCTGTGCTCTCTTAGTTCCATTTTTTCGTGCTCTAGCCGCTTTCCGCGTGCTTTACAACATCTAGAACAGAGCACAGTCAAGGCTTCTCTATTTGTTAAATAGAATATGTCTCGCCATTTAGCTCGCGCTCTCCTAACAATATTTTTGGAAGCTCCGACTCGATTATTGATGGATTATTAGACTTTAATTTTCAGTTTTCCTGATTTAAGTAGTCGAACGGCGACGTGAGGCATGCTCAGAAAAAAGTTATAAACGTACTAAGATTATTTTTCAAAGATTAAAATTTGTAAAAGCTAAATATGTATATTTAAAATTGTCAGTCAAGACGAAAGTTAGTGAATGAAACCGATAAGTGAACATGATTGTAGAGTGGTTCCATTTGTACAGATTCTTCGAGATCTAGAAATATTCGTGGCAAACTGTTAAAATGATGAGATTTATAAGAAAAAACCGGTTTGACGGCTTAGTAACATCGAGTCTCATCAGTAAAGTTTTGGTTGAAACATACTGGTTTGATAGGACCAATTTGTTTTCTCTTATTCTACAGGGCTTAATGGATTTGGGATCATGACTTATCTTCTCCTCAGTAAAGTTTTGGTTGAAACATACTGGTTTGATAGGACCAATTTGTTTTCTCTTATTCTACAGGGCTTAATGGATTTGGGATCATGACTTATCTTCTCATCAGTAAAGTTTTGGTTGAAACATACTGATTTGATGGTACCAATTTTTTTTCTCTCAAAGAAATAGGAAGAATCTCAATTCGTTCTGGAGCGACCCATCTTAAAAGGTATCTTTTAAAATTGAATTTTAAACTGTATTCAGACCTATTCAGTCTTTCTTTAACTAATTGAGGTAAAGCTTACTTTTAAGACTTCTAGTGATAATTCATAAGTGGTTTCAAACAATACCTTAGCGTCCTATATTAGAGGTGCAAACACCATGCAAAACTTTGCGGACCTGATTCTTCGAGTCCTGAGTGTAGTATGCTCAGCATAGTATATTTCTGAGGGATTTAACGGCGAAAGTGAAAAAAACAAGCCAGCCCCTGGTTCCCGCCTAAAAAGGATATTCGACTTTTAGATATAAGATGGTAATGGGAATAGATAATTCCAGAAGGTATTTCTTCATATTGTTTTACAATGCGCGAACGGCATTTAGAACTGAGTGGGATTTGCCAGAAATGAACTTCGCCCCTTCTGGCTAGCGCTAAAAATGATATGGCTCAGTTTTAGAGATAAAACGGCTCTCCACCAAATACTACCTTAGAGTTGATGGCTCATTCTGTGAGCTGTTGATTCCATAAATAATCACATATGACTAATATTACGTGGTAAACAACTTGTGCAGAACTTAATAGACCTGATTTTTCTTGTTCTGAGTATGAAGGGCGCGAACAATATTAGACCTGTGGGGGATTTCCCGATAGTGAACACAAAAGCCAGCGTAACACTTCCTCGCTTGAAAAAAGATACGCGAAATGAATTTTTGAGATAAATGGCTATGGATATTTATGATTGCACCAGGTTTTATCTCACATGTTTACAGCTTATTCTGTGCTCTCTTAGTTCCATTTTTTCGTGCTCTAGCCGCTTTCCGCGTGCTTTACAACATCTAGAACAGAGCACAGTCAAGGCTTCTCTATTTGT